AGAGATCGGAACATGGTGGGGAGTTTCGGGTCATCAGAGGATGAAGGGTTTTGGGTTTTGGATCATTTTCTAGGGAAACAAACACGCGAGAAGTAATGTAGTAATACTATATACTCAAATAGTCGAATGGATGGTTCGTTTGGATGGGGTGTTGATGGTGACGCTGGGGAGTGAGCTCTGGCCATTCTATAGCCATATAATAAGAGAATTAATTTAAGGTGGCTGTTGTAACACATTGAAATTTTTGTTTTGAGGTGATGAACCTGTTCATAGTTAGGAAAACACCAAAAGGTCCAACACCAAAAGGTCCATGACCATTGAAATGAAGAAAAAAAAAGTTGTAATTAATAGAGTTTTATGTTTTGTAATTTAGATTAAAGTAATATATAAAATACATAATAATTGTTAAATGAGATAATTTTTAATATTAAAAAAATAATAAATATTATATTCTCCTATATAGTTTGAATTTTGGATTACACAAAACTCTTTGAATATTAAAACACAATAAGTATATTGTCTTGTGACATGAAGTTAAAAGGTCTTCAGACATTAAAAGACATCTCTACCAAAACAAAAGAACTTAATGCGAGAGAGTACGAGCCCCGATAAGTGAGGAAAAAACAACCACCCTCTAAAATGAGTCTAGATTGAAGATGGGTTTTGCCCAAATTAAAAACAACTAACGCATATGGAGGCAATCAATTAGTATATACTAAAGCACCATTAGTACACAACACAATAGTAAAACTTTTATGTACAATTAGTTTTGAAATAGCATTTAAAAACATCAATTGAGGGTGGGAATTGATGAAAATTTTATTAATGAATGTTCATGTATTTCTAATTCATTATAAATGTTTTGACATTTTAATAATTAAAATATTAAAATTAATAAAAAAAATTAAATATAAATTAATAGTAAAAAGAATATTCCAACAATATTATTAATAACCTTAATATTTTAAATCGCAAGACATTGGGATTCGGATTATGCACAAATTTAGGAATCTCAACCTCACCCCACTTTATTTACTCCCAGAGGTACCGCAAGCGGCGGCTTACATGCTTGTTCACCCACCATAAGCAGAAGGATAATTCTTAAGAATTTGAGAATTGAAAGTTGTAATCGATTTCAGAAGGTTTTGCAATTTCGAATATCTGTGGTTATCCCTGCATAATCGGTAATATAAATAGGAAAATAATTGATACATTCTTTTATCTATCACACTTATTAAAAATTTATTATTTTAAATTTAAATTCATGGTAAAAAGATTTTCAAAAAACAAATTTTAATGATTAAATCAAAATGTATTATGTAGTGTATTAAATTAAAAGGTATATCAATCATTATGCATATGAGTATCATGTTCTTTTCATGAATGCCTAGCTTGCGGTGCATGTTGAGGTAGTGAGGGAGAAAAAAGGCATGTGTGCATTGCATTATGGGGTGGTGGGTTTGGGTATCTATTCTTCAAATCAAAGACCACATATAAATGGTCTACAAACGTATTGATATGTTTTAAGGGGTTTTCAACCTGTGTCTTCAATAGTATATTAATTATAATTTTTTACAATATTATTAATATATATATATATATAAAGAGAACGTTAATTTATTAATTGTTCAATTGAAAACATCTACATAACATTAGTGTTACTATTAATATCAATTTTTATTTTTTTTATATAAATTAATATCTGAAAAGTACATTTATTGTGTAAAGAAAGCCATATTTTAAAGGATTAAAAGTGATGCATTTTCCTCTAGAAATGTAAAAAAGAGAATGCTTCAAAAAATATTCTAAGCAATTAGGATATCGAAAATGTTATTGTAAGTTTACAATATGTTGTGTTATTATATAATTGGCTCTTTTTATTCAAAAATCCATTTGTAATATTATATATATCAACTCATTTAATATTACATCAAACACATTTAATATCACATTATGATTGTAAATTTGTAATTCTATGTAACATTATAATTATAGCACTGCCATAAAGATATACTTTAAAGGTTAAAACCCCATTTTGGTCCCTGAACTAAAAAAATCCTTGATTTGGTCCCTACTGTTTACCATTTTTACCCCGATTTGGTCATTCTGTTAAAAATCCAGTGACATGTACTGTTAACTAACGGGAGCACGATGACATGTCTAAATATCATGACACATCAGATGTACACATGGAAAAAAGATGACATGTCATAAAACACGTCGGATTCCCACCAAGCAAAAAAAATAAAAATGTGGGGCCCACCTTTGCCCAAACTCAATATCTTCTCCCCCTTCTTCCCATTCGAACCCTAGAAGTGCAGAGGGCACACCGTACTTGCAGAAAAACCAAAAGTCCCATTCTCCTTTTTGCTTTTTGCTGGTGAATCTTTGATCTTTCACTTTCGAATCTTCACATTTAGTGCTGAAAGAGGTAGAAATCGAAGAACAATGGAGTCTTCGAACATCATAGATGTCACGCTTTTCTCCATTTCAAAACCCTAAAAGAATAGAGCTCTTTTGTCTTTGATCCTGAGATTAATGCTTTCAAAATCAACTATTTTGTCCTTCTTTTGAGTGGATCTTGAGGAATTTTAGGCAACGGAAGTTGTTGAATCGATATCCATTCCTTCAATTTCTGATGGTGCGAGTGCTAGTGGTGGTCAAATGACAGAATCAAAATGCGAGTGTGGTTTAGCACCTGTGTTGAGGACAGCACTAACATTCCAGAACATGGGAAAAAGGTTTTGGGGATGTCCAAATTTCTTGGTAAGGCTGGTGTTCTTTAATTTTAGTTTCAGATTTATCTGGTTTAGTGCAATTTTAGAAGCATAAAGTTTTTTTCTTAACTTTTGTGTTGTTTAGACTGGAAAGCCTTGCAAGTTCTTCCATTTTATTCTTGGTGATAAGGTGATTGAGGGTAAAGCAAGGGATCTGTTACTGAGGTTGAAAGATAAGCAGCTTCGATTTCAGTCCGAGAATGAAAGGCTGAAGAAGGAAAATAATGATTTAATGAAGGCAAGGGCTGATTTGATAAAGGGAAATGATGATGATTTGATGAAGGAAAATGCTAGATTATTAGTGGAAAATGGGAACTTGCTACACGAGAATGGGGTCTTAATAGCTAAATCTGAATCACTAGTGAAGAAGATTAAGCATTTGGAGAAGAAAGTGAAAAGAAGTGAGAGGATTTGCATAAGATCATAAAAAGTTTGTATCATTTTGTGTGTGTTTTGCATGTTAAGTGCTGCATCTGCTATTGGTCTGTTTATTGCCCTACATAACTGCAGTAGAATCCAGGTTTTTGTTAGTTTATTGACCTACAAAGGCTGCACTAGAATCCAGGTTCTTGTGAGTTTATTGGCCTATAGAAGCTTTTCTTTTTGTCTGAACCAATTGTAATGTGCCTCTTTGCCTAAAACCTAATATAATATCGAAGATTCTATGCTGTTGAAATCTGTTATAAATGTTGTACCTGAATGTATATAAATTTGAGAAAATAAGCACTTATACAAAGTGCATACCATTCCAAGATGCAGTGTTTACAACAATTGCATGAATGTAGTTTCATACATACAAACAAAAAGCAAATTTTGCAATTAAAACCTAAGCAAAAAATACAATTATGGACTACACATTAAACCAATAACTACATTTACCAACCATAATTGTTATACACAAAAGACAACCCCACACAAAATATGCTCACCCCAGCATTTTCAACCTAACAAAATACCAAAAAATCAATCTTCATCAATCTCACTTTGATGCATTTGCAGCCATTCAAGGTTTCTTCTTTAGTTGTCGTGGCTTCTTTGGTTGTCGTGGCTTCTTTGGTTGTTTCCCTTTATCTTTGGCTCCTGAAGTAGTTGCTGCATGTGATTGGGAGGGGCCTGTGGTTGTTGTTGCATAGTCCTTTTTAGCCCTCTTCCGTGGTTGTGCAGTTTTTGAGCTTCCTTCACACTAAAGAATCAATGTGCATTTGTTAGTATATCTAGCATACCATAAAATGAAAAATTGATTAGTTTAGAAGCTTACAACCTCTTGTTTTCTTCTTGCTGTTTGCCTGAATCTCTTTGGTGTAGGTGCCTCATTAAGAACTTGACTAAGAGGATCCTCCACTTGGCTCATTGGGTTTTCCACATTAGCTCCAATGTTTTCATCAACACCTTGAGGCTGCTCTTCTTGGGGAGTTCCTTTATCTTCATTTTGTTCTTGCTACAAATGCATAATACATATATATGAAAAAAATAATGTATAAAACACATAGAGAATTGACAATAATTAATTACAAATTTAACTTACAAGGTTTGGTGGAACTCCTTTACATGACCTTGAGTTGTGCCCCCTTTTGAAGCATTTTTGACAGGTCATCAACCTCCCTTTTCTGCCCATAGATGTTTTCCCCTCCCATTCTTCTGGTTGTCGTTTCTTCTTTGGCTTGCCCGGCATCTTTCTTGGATTTGGTGGTTGCATAGGTGGCATTTTAGTTTCCTTCTATTGGTTAATTCCTTCTATGACTGGGACTTCATATTCATAACTTGCCATGAACATTTGCTTGTTGTACCAGTGTGCTACATAGTGCTCATCATTCTTTTGTCTATGATTGATCACAGTAACTGCATGCCTACAGGGTATTCCAGTCATATTCCAAACTCTGCAAGTGCATGTCTTTCTCTCCACATTTACAATATAAGTTGACTCCCCATTATCATCAACGTCATACCCATCACCACCAGGCCATAAAAGTGTGCATCTCCTGCTACTTTCTCGGGCAACAACAATTTTTGCCCAAATTTTGGGACCAAAATTCCCAACAAATTTCCTGTTACCAGATTCCCTTATAGCCACCGTCCTCCGGGCACACATTTCCTGTAAGTCTTCCAGCATAGAGAATATGATCTTGTGCCTTGCTTCCAGTATTAAACCATTAAACACCTCACACATGTTGTTATCGACAACATCGCATTTACTATCTTCTTTAAAGAAAGCCTTTGACCAAAACCTAGGGTGTGTGCTCATGATGGCAGGGACTGCACTTGGTTTAATACGCCCTAACTTAGTTAATGCCCTGTTGAAGTCATGTTCAGTGTTAGCCTTAACACATCTCCAAAATGCTACCTTCAATTCTTTGCCTCCATTATTTTTTCGAAAGTTGGCATATTTGTGTCTAGCGCATGTTCTATGCTCAGCATTTGGAAATAGATCCTCAATTGCATGAATTAGGCCCTGGAATCACATGTTCTCAATGAGTGCATATAATTACCAACTAAGTTATTTTTCCCAAATTGGTCCCTGAACTTTAAAGTTCAAAGACCAATTTGGGAAAAACAAAGATTCATAAACATAACAGAATGATGGAATATACCTTCTGTTGGTCAGAAATGAATGTGAAATTACTCCCTGATCCAATCACCATGTTTTTTTGCAGGTCCTCAAGGAACCAGATCTAGGTCTCTATGGTTTCACCTTCCATGGCTACCCATGCAAATGGATACAACTGGTTGTTTGCATCCCTGGAAACAGCAACCAACAATACTCCTTTGAATGCTCCTTTAAGGAAGGCACCATCAAGACCAATAACACGACTGTAGCCAGCTACAAATCCCAACTTCATTGGAGAAAAACAGGTGTACATCCTTAAGAAAACAGGATTTAAATCTGTAGTTGGTCTTGATGCCTTAATAATGATGGTGGCAGCAGGGTCTTTCGATCGAAGCTTTATAGCATAATCCCATAATTTACCATATTCCATCTTGCAATCACCCTCAAATTCCTTCCCAATCTTCTCCTTCACCTTTTTCAGTTGATGGTGAGATAACTCAACACTTAACTCTTTCCTAATGACATTAAAAATGTCATTTCGCCTCATGTACAAGGCACTAAACCCTCTGTGCCTCACCAAGTGCTTTGCAGCTACTGTTGAGTTACATCACTTGTTCTTCTTTAACAACCAATGGCATGTATGCTCAGACACAAATGTCTTCACCATCCAAGATTTAGTTGGTTGGTCCATTGCCAAATAAATCTGCCATGGACAATCTGGCGCCTTCACACATGATGCCCTGCATCTTATATTGTCATTTTTTATCCATTTAATATCTTGCCTCTGCTTGAGGTTCCACTTATTCACAACATCCCTAAATTGTTGCTTGTTGATAAACATCATTCCTAATCTAATGTCAGGAGTGTCATCATCTCCTGGCTCTTGGTAAACCTTATGCGTAGCCCATCTCCTTTTACCATGTTTGGCTTCACTTGCTTCATCATCAGATGTTGAGAGATAGCTATCTTCTTCATCACTCCCTATCTCATCAACTTCATCCAAATGTTGTCGACTTGGTCCTCTAGCACTAGAACCTACTAAACAATATAGATTCTCCATTAAAGAAAGTCACATAGTGAAGAACTCAGAACTCATTGAAGTTAGTTTAGAACAAATACTTGTAGTATGTGTATCAGAATACTTTACAGCAACTGTTGGTGGTTCAAGGTCTTTCTCAATGCTGTCCTCAATGTTGTTGAAAAACTTGACATTCTTTTTAGCTTGCAGCGTCTCTTCATCTTCATTGTCTGTTAACTTAGGAACATCAATATTATGATCTTCCTCATCATCATCAGATTCAACTCTGACACCATCATCACTTACAGCATCCCCATCATGAGTTTTAACACTAACATCTTCCTTAGTAACATTAGCAGCAGCCCCATCAACGCCAACACTTTCCTCAGTAACATTAGGTTAGACATTGTCACTTGCATTGTCATTGTCCTCCTTCTGATCATCACCAGGAGCTGGTAAAAGAAGCACTTCTTCTTCTACATGTGCAAAGTCAGGGATATGAAGTATATAAACGTGGATAACATTGACAACCTTTATAATTTCTAGCACCTCCCTCATTGAATCATCATTGACAATTTGCACTAAGCCATCTTCTAAAGTTTTTCCATGTTGCAAATACCATATCCCATCTACCATATCAGGATCATATTTACAAAACTCAACCTTTCTATAAAACTCCCACACTGTTATTTTTCTGGGTCTACATTCCAAACATAGCACTCCCCATCAGCGTATTTAAGGCCATTTTTCTGCACTAACCTACCACCAACATGCAGAAACATTTTGGCAGTGTTGCCTGACTTATTATCTCTGTATTCAAAAAAAAAAAACCTCATTAAAGACAGTCAAACAACCAATCTGTCATGCAATTATATTTTACATAGTTAAACTAAGAAAAACACAAATTACTATTGTAATCACCCTAACCCATACAAAAACAAAGAGATCAAGTGGGGACCCAATGTCCTTTTCGCTACCAACTCAAGAAACATATACTAGAAAACAACTTTTAAATTGCTTTTAGGACATCACCCAACACCTTCACACATCTCGAAAGAAAATAAATTGAAAAAAGGTTCAAACCTTGTCCCCACTGAGATCTGGGTCGGCAACAACATCTATGATGTTCGAAGACTCCATTGTTCTTCGATTTCTACCTTTTTTAGCACTAAACGTGAAGATTCGAAAGTGAAAGATCAAAGATTCGCCAACAAAAAGCAGGAAGGAGAATGGGACTTTTGGCTTTTCTGCAGGTACGGTGTGCCCCTTGCTTTTCTAGGGTTCGAATGGGAAGAAGGGGAGAAGATACTGAATTTGGGCAGAAGGTGGGCCCCATGTTTTTTTTTTTTTTTTTTTGCTTGGCAAGAATCTGACGTGTTTTATGACATGTCATCTTTTTCCATGTGTACATCTGACGTGTCACGATATTTAGACATGTCATCGTGCTCCCGTTAGTTAACAGTACACAGCATTGGATTTTTAACGGAAGGACCAAATCGGGGTAAAAATGGTAAACAGTAGGGACCAAATCAGGGATTTTTTAATTCAGGGACCGAATCGGGGGTCCGTACAATAGTTTAGGACCAAAATGGGGTTTTAACCTACTTTAAATTGAGTCATCCAAGGTAGGCATGGAAATCATTATTTTTTTTATTTTAAATTAAAGGCAGATAAGTTTAAAAATATAACTATGCATGTAGTTAATTGAATTAGCTATGTATCGAGTGTGTATTAATAATTTTCCTTAGTAATATTAAATGTATTTGTTACAGAATATTCTCACTTGATTATGTTTACATTGCTATGATTATATTCACATTATAATTGGTTAACGTAATTAGATTAATTAATTTTGTAATATAGAGTATTCTCTTGTACATATAAATAAGCACTTTGTATAGTCAAATGAATCAAGCAAAAGTATCATTTTTCTTCATATTTTTCTTTCCTACCTTGTTTTCTCACATAGTATTAGAGCTTAGTGAACTCTTTTCTTTGAGATTTTGTGCTTTTAATTTTTTGCATCAGCAGTGTTTTCATGCCAGCCAGTATCACTTGTTCCGATCACATTCTTAGACCAGCAACGTTTCGAGTAGTGTATTTGTTCAAATCGTGTTCTAGTCACATACTGGTTTCAGATTTGGCTACTATGATTGTTGTTATTCCTCCTACAGGTTCCTCTGAGCTTTCGCCTAGATTTTCACAACCAAGCTATCCGAAATTCTTGCTGTGCAGATCTTTGCCACCCAAAATCGCTCCCATCTTTTCTAGTGTTCTGCTCTGTCAAATTTTCTTTTCTTTACAGAATATCCTTTTTTTATTTAATTATGGAGAAATCTAATATTTCGCGACCAATTTCAACCATTCTTAATGGCTCAAATTACATACTGTGTTTTATTATTGATTTTAATGATTTGAAAACTAAATGTGAATTGGAATATATTATTTATTGAATTGATTGGAAGTTGATTTGGTTGTGAATATATGATTTATTCCTAGTAATATTGAATTAATTTTCAAATATTAAGTTTTGAATGTGTTTCATTTTTTTTTAATAAAAGTCCATTTAATTGCATAATTATAATTCCTTGTTGTGGGGAGCCAAAAACAGAAAGTGCATTCTATAATTGAGGTTCCAACCCCTGGGATAGGGTTTGGAACCCTTGATAGTTCTGTTTTTTGCAAGATTGTATAAGAAATCAAGTTCCAACCTCTAAAAGTAGGTTCTAACTTCTAAAAGTAGGTTCCAACCTCTTGTGCTGGGATAGTAATTTACCTACCATATTTGGAATATATTCATTCTAAAAAGGAGTTCTAACGATAAAACACACTAATTGAGCATTCTCAAGCTATAAAACCAGATTTAGAAGAATGGAGAAGCACGAAGAATAGAGCCTTCAAGTTGAAAAACCAAGAGTGATTAAGTTTCTACTTTGTGCTTTGTGAAATCTCTTATTTTCTTGTTCTATTTCATTGTAATAAGTGAGAGAGGGATTAGGAAACCTTGTTAGGTCTAGTAATCCATCCTTGAGGTATAGGAAGGGTTGAGATTTGTAACAAAGGGATTAAATGGTTCAATAGCACCCATAAGCTATTGGGAAAGTGATTGGGTAACCTTGTTAGATCTAGAAAAAACCATCCTTGTGGTATAGGATTGGATTTGTGAGAAATTGCAACAAGGGCTTGAGTTGTTGAAGGTGGATAGTGCCAAAAAAACTATTGCAAACGATTGCCTCTACACCTAAAAGTTGGAGGAGAGATTCTGAATTTAAAACTAACTCTCAAGCAAGCAGTTTGAGGAGTGGAGTAGGCACAAATTGTGATCGAACCACCATAAATCCTTGTGTTTGAGTTTTCTCTTCCTTTAGCTTTTAATTTTTGCACTTTAAATTAATTATTTGCAATTGCTTGTGCTTGTTCATTGTTTTGTTTTTAAAAGTTGCATAAAGTTTTTAAAAACTCCATTAAGTCCTCCTCTTAGGTTGCCATCTGGGCTAACACTGTGGGCTTAAAGTATGCGTGGTTTCTTGAAGGGTTGGATTATGGCGATATATTATTGGTGACATTACACTTCCATAGAAAGTTGTTGACGAGATAGATAAGAAATATGTTGACCATTTAGAGGACTAGGATAACAAAAATCATCAGATCATCACTTGGTTTCGTAACACCTCAATTCCTTCCATTCACCTTCAGTTTGGATGGTATGAAACAACTAAGGAAGTGTGGGATTTACTTGCAGCAAGGTATACCACTATTGATTTATCTAGTCAATATAAATTGTAGGAAAAGTTACACAATTTGAAACAAGAACGTGGAGAGTCCATTACTAGTTTTTATGCTAAGATGGAGGCTATTTGGGGTCAGCTTGCTCTCTTTAAACCAACTTTCAATGACATTGCTGACATTGGGAAGTACATTGAGCACTGTTATAAAATGAGGTTAATTCAATTTCTTATGGCACTTACTAATGATTTTGAACCATGCAGAACCTCTTTATTGCATTAGTCTCCTTTACCTACCTTGGATAGTGCTCTCTCACGATTATTATTTGATGAAACTCGTCTGGGTTTACTTAAGCCTCAATGAGATAATATTGTGGTTGCAGCTATTAACAAGTTTCCTTCGAGTTAGAAAGGATAGAAGCATTGTTGTCACTATAACAAATAAAAACATGCTATCTATGAATGTAGTCTGGTAGAATGTCATAAATGCAAGCAGAAAGGCCATATTACTCCTAATTGTACTACTCCACTACCTCAGAGATCTGATCAGTGGAAGACCCAATCAAAGCCTAATCAGTCTTCCAAGTTTGTGGTTGCTGTAGCTGTTGCCAATGAGGATACCTCAGTCCATCCTTTGATTGGTAATCTAGAAACCTTTCTTTGACAGATGATATCATCTTCCTCTACATCTACTACCTTACCTACCATCCCAAGAAAAGTTTCTTGGATTTTTGACTCTGGTTGTTGCAATCATATGACTTCAAACTCTACACTTTTTTCTACATTAACCCCTAATACCACTGCACCTCCAATTCATACTTTTGATGGTTCACAAATGCAAGTTACCCAATATGGTCAAGTTTTTACTTCTGCTCTTACCTTACCAAACACATTCCTAATAGCAAAACTTACTTTCAATCTTATTTCTGTGGGACAATTGTGTGAACTTGGTCTTGAACTAAATTTTCTACTCATGGTTGTCATGTGCAAGATTCATAAATGAGACAGATTCTTGGGGTAGGCTATAAAGTTGGATGTTTGTTTGAGCTCGCCTCCCTGCACATCCTTTCTGGTTACGTTTCCCAATTGTGTGTAGTCTCAACATCTTCTTCTTTACACTTGTGGCATCTCCATCTTGGTCATGCCTCTATTAGTAAACTTGTCCTTTAATTCAAAATGGGTTTTTAGGTTCTGTCAAAGAAGAGTCTTTACATTGTGTCTCACGTCAAGTTGCTAAACAGCTTGCTTTATCTTTTAATAAAAGTGATTCCATTTCACTAGCACCTTTTGATTTAGTACATTTTGACATATGGGGCCATTTCCCACTCCTACCATGGGTGGTTCAAAATATTTTGTGTTATTTATAGATGATTATTCTTGCTTCACTTGGCTATATTTGATGAAGAAATGCTCAAAATTATCTCAAATTTATTTTGAATTTGCTAATATGATAAAGACTCAATTCTCTAAAACTATCAAAGTCTTGAGAACTGATAATGCTCTTCAGTATCTCGATTCTAAATGTCAATCTTTTCTTAAAGAGTAGGGCACAACACAACAAAGATCTTGTCCATATAACTCTCAACAAAATGGGTGGGTTAAGCATAAACATCGTCATATTTTGGACGTAGTTCATGCTCTCCTAATTTCCTTTTCATGTCCTAAGCGTATTTGGGGTGAAGTTACACTTACAACAATTTTTGTCATAAATCAAGTCCCATATACTGTCACACAAAATAAATCTCCCTATGAGTGTCTCTACGATATTCTTCTTGCCTATAATCTTCTTAAATTTTCTGGTTGTGCTTGTTTTGTTCTTTTGCCTTTTCATAAACATCACAAGTTAGAGCCTCAAGCTTGACTTTGTTATTTTCTAGGGTATGGGATACAACATAAAGGTTATTGTTGTTGGGATCCAATATCACAAAAACTCCGTGTCTCTCGTCATGTTGTTTTTTTGGGAACACACTATGTTTGCTTCTCTTTTTGAATTTAAGGTGTCTCCTTCTCAGCAAACTCCTATCTTTACTAATCCATCCCTTGAGTTATTTCCTAGTGATGATGTAGGGACTCATGATGAGCTTTCAAATGATCAAACTACCATGGCTCCCGTTTTAGAAGATGTCTTTTTTGCGGATATTGCACTTGGAACAAATGAGATTGAAAATCCACCAGTTACCTCTTCTAGTCATCCTATTCGGGTAAGAAATCCACCTACATATCTTCAAGATTACTATTGTTTTTTTACACTTGCCTCTTTACATGAACCTCAATCCTACAAGGGAGCTTTTTTAGATCCTCTATGGTAGCAAGCTATGAAAGAGGAATTATAGGCTTTGGAAAAGATAGGTACTTGGGACTTGGTTGATCTTCATACTGATAAGACTCTTATTGGATGCTAGTGGGTATACAAGATCAAAACTCGTTTTAATGGATCTATAGAGTGTTATAAGGCATGTCTAGTGGCAAAGGGTTTTACATAGGAATATGGCATTGACTAT